CGTCGCTGAAGAATGTACTTATTCTCAATAAGAAGGTGTCCAGATCTGTCCATCAAGATTCTTAGACTGCCCTTCCTTGCACCTCTGGGCCTTCTGATGGTCTGCCAGTATACTTTGTATGCCGTCTGTAAATGCGACTCACGAAAACTAATTTCGACGCCGGTGAAATCCTTAAGCGTTTTTGGCGTTATCTAGCCACTAATCAAGTCGAATAGAGCAGGTGAGATGATGCAGCCTTGAAGAAGACCAGGAGTTAAAAAATTCCTTCAGTTCACCTTAAGTCCGACCCTTGTCAGCTGCTGCGGATGTTGGTGCATTTAACGGAAGAACGTTATAACATGATTTTTATAGAGCTTCATAAGGTTGGATTGTATTGAGCCGTTCCCAACTGCTGCTTGTTTTACTATCGAAGTTGTCCTTTCTAACCTCTTAATTTACCAGTTCTAGTTGCAGGTCAGAGATGGCACTGACGACCTTATTGCTGCAAGGTCATTATCGACTGGTGACACATTTACAACTGACCGGTTTGTCAGAGCCGTCCCCTGCCACGCCCTGAAATGTACACACTGCGACCAGTGCACGGTTGCTTATTCGTCACATGACTTCCATGTCTTGAATCGTTTCCCTATCAGCAGTTTAGGGGACGCATCAGGTGCTGCTCAGCTACACTGACCGGCTCACTTTGCCACCTCTTGAATTTATATCAAGGTTCTGATAAGGCCTTAGGGTTCTGATAAGCTAATAAGATCTAAAAAATCGTACCCGTCAGTTGTCCGCTAGATGTACGCATTGTTCTCTAGGTCCTATATGTCAGTTCAAGATCTTGTCACTTATTCTGAAACGACTGATGTCACATGTGACTTTCAGCAACATGAAAACTTTTCGTCGTTTATTGTAATTCATACTCGAAAATGAAGTTTTTTCGTCCATCCACTCTTGTAAAGTTTCTTATTGATAACAAATCAGTATAACCTTAAAAAGTTTTCTAAAATACTTGCGACATTCTCATAAGATGTGATGCGAACTGTCATAATCATAATACGATAAAACTTATTTGAAATCAGTTCCTTCCACGAAACAGCAGAATGTTTCGTAGCTTAGCACAGCAGTAAATTTGATCAGTAATTAATTTTTTTGCTCCAATTCGCTTGACTCTTGAATTAAACACTTGCGTTTGTTTAGGCCTCCTCGGTGCCTGCGCCAAAACTTGAATCACATGAGGAAGAGGAAGCTCAGCCAGAGCCGACCGGCGACGTAAAAGGGCGGCAAAGGCGTGGAGCAGTTTCGGCTGAGGTTTATTCAGAGGAAGATATCGCGAACTACGTTAAAAAGGTATTGAAAATTGGTGATAGGCGAGCATTTCAGTTTTATTGTGGTTTTCAGTAATTAACGTAATTTATTATTGACGTGTATGGGGCGAACAAGTTTGTTTTAACTTGAATCAACAGACAGACGAGAGTGTGTAATAATTGGGAGCTTCAAGTACATTTAATGCCAGTGGTATATCTACTTTCTTGAAAACCTTGCCCCAACCTCCTCCTCGTGAAAGTAGACAGGGATTGAGAAGTTTGTAATCGTTGAAATGTCGGTTGTCCATAAAACATTTTCATGATCGAACCCTGATTTTCATTTTCGTGCCGTCAATCATGCGGGTCTTATTTTGAAAGCTTTGTCACGAGGCGGTATAGTGCTAAGAATTCTGGGTGCTGAGTTCAGATCCGTTCGACAACAAACTTTGTTTTATGCACAGATACCCTTGAACAGGGAATTCGCTTCACGTAGTAAGTGCTACATATCGGGATTGCTGACTGAACAACGAGTCAAAACTCAGCACGGAGAAGTCCCAGGTTTGAACCACGATTAGGCGACTCGCCCTTCCTGCCGATATTAATAAATGAGTACCACTCTGTGGGAAGGAAACAAGATGCCACACCCCACTCTTTCCATGCGGATGTAGGTTACATTTTCAACATGACACTTCTAGCCGATGGCATAGAAACCATCGGCACGACCCCAACAATTTTATGAACATAAGGGCATCGCAATTTTCCCATCATGAAATCGTAAAGAAGACCGACATTGCGGTGGTTACAAACCTTCCTCCTTTTTTCTGTTATAAAGCAGCTGTGGAAGGCTTGATGCGTAATCTCCTGTTTCCTTCCTACAGAATGATACTTATTTATCAACCTTTTAAGCAACATAAAATCGTAACCCGACCGTGAAAGGGGAGGTACGGCTCGAGCTCATGACCTCTCGGTTCTGAGCCCTACGCAGCAGCCGCCATCTTCCTCCTTGTGGATATGTTGCAGCGACCATTGCAACGGATCGTATGCTCTCTGAAACACCGCGGTGCCTGTTCTCTTGACCTGCTGCAGATGTTCAAGACTTGTTTGTCACTGACCGTTAAATCGCGAGTGAATTAATAATTCACTGTAATCCCTGTTTGAGGTAAATCTAGTTAGAAAATGGTTACTGGCTATGAGCTCGCAAGATATAACAATCATCGGTATCAACCCCGGGTTATAGTCTGGGGAAACTTTTTCATTTTTTTATCTTTCTATCTTTGGATACATGTTGATAACAGCTGAAGTAATGCACCCATTTTGACGCGGTGAAGCACTTCGTCTGCTCTTGATTTGTTTAATGCT